TCTCCCAGTTTCTTGGACAGGGTGGAGGGCAGGAGGGTGGGGGAGGTAGCATTGCTGTTGCTGGGGGCTCATTAGGTGGAGATTGGTTTTTAATCAGCACCATGGCAATGATGATGCAAGAACTAAGATGCCACCTGATCCCCTGCCCCCAGCCCCCCTCCTCAAGCCTCCTTTCCCCTCCAGCTCAGCCCATCTGCTGGCGCCCGGGCACCTGTCTGGGCCTGCCCAGGTGGGAGTTGGCACCTCCCAGACCTGGGGGTGACGAGTGGTGGGGAGCTTGGGGAGGGATTATAGGACTCCCCTTAGGGAATGCCTCACCTTGGAGAAAGCCCAGAAAAAGGTCGATCCGGCACCAGGGAAACGGCAAATGCCTCCAACAACCTGCAGGTGGGGTGTGCTCCTTCTAAGGTCTGGGCCCTTTATGCAATAGCTCAATCTCCATGGCAACCTAAGAAGCAGTTATAATGAACCCCATTTTACAGAAAAGGACAGTGGAGGCTCAAGAGGTTAAGTGACTTGTCCGAGGTCACACAGCCGCCAGGGCTTTCTTCACCGCAGCACCCTGTCTCTGCAGGGCTCCCGGCCACGGTTCATTCCGGATACTCGCAAAGGCTCCATGAAGATACCCAACAGCTGGCTGGACGAGAGGACTAGACACACAAACCCAGCCCACATCCTCTCTGTGCTTCCCTTGGTCCCGGCCCCTGCCACCCTGCACGCACACACACACACACGCGTGCACATGCACACGCACCCTCGGGCTGGAGGCAGCTGAGCTGCCCCTGTGAACTTAATCAATGCCTGTTTGCATGTAGTTCTGTATCTGGTTTTCTCACTGCTCATTTGCTGCCCCGGCACACTCCCAGCTGCCCAGGCTGCCCTGCCTTCTCCCGCGTCCTTCCTCTGCCTTTAGCCCTTCCTTTCCTCCCAAGGCCCCCTAATTCCCAGTGGGTCAGCCTAGAGAAATTCCTCGTGGGCTCTGTGTCAGGAATCTGACCCCACTCCTCCTGGTGACGGGGTAGGTGGGAGGACGAGGGCTGGGATAGAAGCTGTGGGGTGACTGAGTCCCAGGGTGACGAGGGGCAGGGGCCTGAACAAGAGCCACAGACAGCCTGCCAAGGGGTCCGCTCGGCTGCAGCTTCATGAAGGATGAGAGCTTGCGGACGGCAAGGACTCTGGGGTCCTCTTCCGCGTTTTAGCGCTGTCCACTTGCACTTTTCTAGATTTCCCTGTTAGTACCTGGGAGAGCTTTCTTCCCGGGAGAAAAGACACAGGGGAAGGGGCCGTCAAAGTCACACCGGGACTCGGAATAGGACCATGGCACTTAAACCTGGCATGCTGGGGGCCCCTGTCCCTGCCGCCCCTGGTGTGGAAGACTGAGGGGTTCATCTGTGATCCTGCCCTGGCTCTCGCCCCAGCCCCACCCCTTCCCGCGGCTCTCCATTTCTTGCTTATGAAATATGCATGGAGAACAGATGTCCCTGCTCCCCTACTCCCTGCCCCCCCAGGGCCAGCCCCCACCCCCAGCTCCCGGGAGGTGGGGTGGGGGGGTGTTCCCAGTTCCCTCTGCCAATGGCTGCCTGGCCTGGCTGTTTAATATTGATGAGGGGGGGGCCTGGGCCAGCCAATGGAGAGCTGGGGGTGTGTGTGTATCTCCATATATACACAGGGCTGGGCCCGCTCAGGTGTGTATGCGTCGGTGGGGGTGTGTGTATATGTATGTGCGTGCGTGCCGCTGGCCCCCGTACCTGGCCAAGCCCACCCCCTCCACCTGGGCCCTATACCCTCACCATGTGTACCCCTCTCATCAGCCCTGGAGCCGGGGCAGCCACGCCACACTGCTGTCCCCGAGAGCTCTAGAAAGCTGGTCCCTAACTTTGCAGACGGATGAGCTCTGAGCAGCCAGAGGAGACTGGGGCTGTCAACGCGGCCCCCTGTCCTGCCAGCGTGGATCCCCTCACAGGGTCTTCCTAGGTAAAGGGAGAACTGTGGGCTGGGGAGGGGTGGGTGTGTCCCTTGCACTCTGGCTCAGGTCCCCTCCCTGAGCCTCCCTCTAGATCCTCTCTCCTGTGTCCCTGCACTTCCCTCTTCCCCACTCCTCCCCTTGGACTCTTTGTGCCTGACTGTCCTCCATCGGGTTGAGCATGGCAGAAGTGGGGCTGGAGGTCCTACCCGCGATGCTTGGGATTGCTGTTCTCCCTCATCCTTGGAGCCTGGAACTTTGGGACCAGAAGTGGATTGGGGGTGAGGACTGCATGGGTAAATAGGAGCTGCTGCCAGGACCGGAGCTGCGGTGGACGGCGGGGCCCGGTGGAGGTGGGACAGGGGTCAGATTGGGAGCACATGGAGGGGAGGGGTGGGGAGGGCATGGCAGAGCGGTCAAGGGTGAAGGAACACGGGCACGGGGCAGAGGAGAACGGGCTGATAGATGTGCTCGGAGGAACGCGCAGCTGAACTCTTGAAGGCCAGGGGCAGTAACCAGGTCCTGGAAGGTGCAGACTTCGGGGCCTCCCACCCTGTTGACACCCCTCTTGTCCCTTTGGAGCCTGGAATGTGGAGCGTGTTTTGAATTTCAGCACTGACCACCTTCTGCTTTGTGTGATGGTTGTGCGTGTGTGTCTGTTAGATGTGGAGACCCTTGCACCCGCCAACCGCCAGCAATTAGTAACTATTTGTCAACTACTCCTGAGCCTGGCTTCTCTGCAGTGGGGTGGGGCAAGGTGGGGGGTCGTGACCCCTGGGAGGAGGGCCCTCAGGCAGGAGAACCAGGCTGGTGAGGAAGGGAAGGAGCCTCGGCGTTTCTGTTTCCCGCGGCTCGGTCCCGCTGAGCTCCCAGTGAGTGGTGCCCTCTTCCCCCTAACACTCCTCCGAAGCAAAGCCTTCCCAGACCTCTCCCTGCTGCCTCACCCTGACCTCCTCTGGTCCCAGGGACAAACCAACCTTACCCAAGTCCCATAATGGTGTCCCCAAGAAGCTGTCCATGTCCCTTTCCCTGCAGGCCATATCTGAGCGGATGGGGGGTTGGGGGAGTGCCCCGAGTGGGAAGCTGATGATGATCTCTGTCCCTCTTCTTCTTTGTGGAGCCACCAAAAGCACCAGGGAATGGCGCCCCATGGCTGAGGGTGTTGGGGACAGAGTTAGAGGAAGGCGCTTGTCCTGAGGAGGGTCATCATGGCCAGAAGAGATACCGTCCCCTGACCCTAGTGGACAGGGTGGTAGGATCAGGTGTCTGCGGTGGTCATGTTGGGGGGTGGGGGGCCGGCAGGGACTGAGCCGGGGCAGCTGTGCTGAGCTCCATATGTCCCAGTCCACTCTACAATGGGCAAGCTGCGTGTGTATCCCCTCCCCCCACCCCACCCCCACCCCCAGAGAGGCAGCAAGGCTGGAGAGAGGCCCTGAGAGGGAGGAAAGGGCAAGGCCAAGGCTTATAGCTCTCCCATCACAACTGGGGAAGGTTTCGAGGCACGGCCAACCTCTCTTGAAACTGTGACTGCAGTCTTGCTCAGTTTTCTTTTTCTTTCTATTACTACAGGATATTTTTATTATGGTTAAAAAACCACGAACATAAAATTTACCATTTTAAGCACATGGTTCAGTAGTGTTAAGTATGTTCACACGGTGGTGCAACAGATCTGCAGAACTTTTTCATCTTTCAAATCTGAAACTCTACACCCTTTGAACAACAACACTTCCCCCTTCCCCCCACTTCCCCCAACTGCCATTGTACTTTCTGTTTCTCTAAAGTTGACTGCTTAGATCCCTCACATAAGTGGGATCATACAGCATCAGTCTTTTTGTGACAGGCTTATTTCATGTAGTGTAATGTCCTCAAGTTTCATCCATGCTGTAGCACATGGTAAGATTTCCTTCCTTTTTAAGGCTGAATAATATTCCACTGACTGTATATGCCACATCTTTATCCAGCCATCTGTCGATGGACGTCTGGCTTCTGTCCATATCTTCTTTATTCTGACTAGGGCTACAGTGAACATGGAAGTGCAGATATCTCTTTGAGATCCTGATTTCCATTTTGGGGGGATACCATCCAGAAGTGGGATTGCTAGATCAGCTGGTCGTTCTATTTTTAAATTGGGGGGGACCTCCATTAGGTTTTCCATAGTGACTGCACCATTTTGCAATTCCACCAACACACCAACATGGCACAAGGGACTCACTTTCTCCACATCCTCACCAACACCTGTTATTTGATGTTGTTTTTGTTTTGACAGTAGCCATCCTCACGGGGGTGAGGTTTTAGCTCATTGTGGTTTTGACTTGCTTTTCTCTGATGATGAGTGATGTGGGGCATCTCTTCATGCCTGCTGGCCATCTGTGTATCATCTTTGGAGAAATGTCTGTTCAAGTTCTGGCCCATTTTTTAATTGAGGGATCTGATGTTTTGTTGTTGTCGGGGTTCTGTATAATATTCTGGATATTCACCCCTCATCAGGTATATGATTTGCATGTATTTTCTCCCGCGGCTTGCCTTTTCACTCTTCTGATTGTGGCCTTTGACTTAAAAAGTTTTCAAGTTCAACAGTCCCATTTGTCCTTTTTTGCTTTGTTGCCTTCCTTTTGGCATCATATCCAAGAAATCACTGACTGCCAAGTCCAATGTCATGAAGATTTCCCCTGTGTTTTCTTCTAGGAGCTGTCTAGTTTTAGGTCTTTAATCCTCCTGCTGGGTTATGTCCTGCCCCCCCACCCGCCCCCACTCCGTCTCACCTCTCCTCCTTTCCTGATGCTCCCTTCCGGATTCTCTTCTTACCATCTTTCCTCCTACTCCTGTATGCCTGTCCACCTGCCTGTCTCTCCCAGACCGCCACCCCTCCCCATGTTTCTGCTGTTCTCCCCCCCCAAGTACCTCCCTGCTCCCAACGCATCTCCGACCTTCCTCTTGCCCTCCCCATCTCCGAGCTGTCCCCTAATTCCGCCCTCCGTCCCAATCAATTTCTTCTTCTCTCCTCCAGGCTCGGCACTGGAACCCTGACCATGGGACCTTGAAGTGGCTCTGACCTCCTCAGCTCAGTGGCAGACCCCACTCCCCCAGGCCCTTCCTGCCCCTCCCACAAACAGCTTGCAGGCTCCCAGAGGGAGGGGTGGGGAGGAGATCCTGATCTCGCAGGGCAGGGGGCCTCCATCATGATGCTCAACTCAGACACGGTGGAGCTGGACCTGCCTCCCACCCACTCCGAGACCGAGTCAGGCTTCAGCGACTGCGGGGGCGGGGCGGGCCCCGATGGGGCTGGGCCTGGGGGTCCCGGAGGGGGCCAGGCCCGGGGCCTGGAGCCCGGAGAGCCCGGCCGGAAAGACCTGCAGCACCTGAGCCGGGAGGAGCGGCGGCGGCGGCGCCGGGCCACGGCCAAATACCGCACGGCCCACGCCACGCGGGAGCGAATCCGCGTGGAAGCCTTCAACCTGGCCTTCGCCGAGCTGCGCAAGCTGCTGCCCACGCTGCCCCCCGACAAGAAGCTGTCCAAGATCGAGATCCTGCGCCTGGCCATCTGCTACATCTCCTACCTGAACCACGTGCTGGACGTCTGACGGGGCCTGCCTCCGGCCTCGCGGGGGTCCGCAGGCCCCCCGCCCCCGCCCCTGCACCCCGGCACGGAGTCCCGCAGGCCCCGGGGCGCAGGCAGGGTGCCCCCCGCAGGTGCCTGCTGGCTGGCGGCTAGCGGGAGCCAGACCTCCTCTTACCGACCCCGGGGCCCCCCCAAGGGCGAATCTCATGTACCTCCCACCGTTTGTGGTTGGGGCCCAGCTGGTCAGAAACGTTTGCCTGGGTGGTCGGTGTACAGTTCTTGCGGGGGTTCCTAAGCGGCCCCCCTAGCTCTCTCAAGGGCTGCTGCCTCTTCTACCCCACGACCAAATTTTCGGAGACCCCAGATTCTGTGTCTGTCTCCCATCCTCTTTCCAGCTTCTCCTGCCCGGGAGGGAGGCGGCATCGGCAGGGGAAGGGGGAAGCCTGGGCTCCGAGTGCAAGGGGGGCTTCTTCTCAGACATCTCAGCCCAGCACTGGTGGCCCGAGGGCCAGGCACGGCCAGGCAGGGGGCTCCTGAGGCAGCTCCTGCCAGGGCAGTCGTAGCAGCGGGAATCGCAGAAAAACGCTGTTTTCTCTCGTTCCTGAGGCTCAGCACAGACAGACCTCGATCTTACTTGGTAGTGAGTGCCTTGCCCTCTCTAAGCTCCCTGCCTCCTCCCACCCAGCATCCCAATTTTCTCCCTCCCTGTGTACAGCTGTTGAAAGGGTAATCGATCTAGATCCTGGAGGAGGGGATGATGGCCCCAGACCCAGCCCAGAGAATCAGCAGAGGGCCCAGGCAATGGGTGAGCCAGATCGCACATCTGCTTCCTCCATCCCGGCCCACTGGGAAAATGTGCAAAACCCACCCGCCTTCCTCCCTCAGATGCGGGGGGGGGGGGGGGGGGGGGGGGGGAGGCTCTATTCCTGCCCTCTGGGAATGCTCAGCTCTTTGGGACCTAGGGCCAGTTCATTATAGATAGATTTTTTTCTCCTTCCTTAAGCTTGGCTTCAGCAAGGGAAGACACCCCCCAACCCCACTCCCCACTCCCAGGCTCTCTGCACTTCCCCCCCATATGTTGCTTAGCCCCCTCTGCTCACGGCAGCCCAGGGTCAGCAGTGGAATGAAGGGCCAGAGGGCAGGTGCAGAAGAAGTGAGCTCACGGTCCTTCCCATGCTCCCTCCTCCCCGACACCAGACTCCGCACTCTACAAGGATATTATTTATTTACGTATTTATTTATTTATTCATCTATTTATTTACTTATTTATTTATAAATATTACTATTTATTGCCGAGTTGTGCACTTTGGGGTAGAGCGAGGGGGCTCCTGGCAGTCCTAGCTGGGTCTCTCTTGCTTCCTCCCCGGTTACTCTTTTCCCTTTCTTACTCCTTCTGCAAGCTCCAGGTGTGTGGGGAGATCCTCTCTGCTCACCACACCCATATCCCTTCCTCAGATCCATCTGTCCGGACACCCAGTCCTCTGGGATGGTGCCCTTCCCCCAGCTCCAGGGCTCCTGGACCCTTCCGTAGCTCTCTCCACCCCCAGACAGTCGCACCCCAGTCCTGCCTGCCTCTTTTCTCTCTCTAGCCCTCTCCCATGACCTCTCACTTCTTCCTGATAGCCCCAACAGCAGCACCCCCCCCGGGGTCTGTGTCCTGTGTCCTGTGTGTGATCCCCTCCCATTGCAGTTCCAATTTCATACGAAAAGAAAAATTAAAGTGACCTCGTTCTAGCACCAGGTATGGCTGTGGATCATTCGGTTGGGCTTAGCAGCTGGCCTAGGCATGGAGGGTCCTAGGCTTTGAAGGCTCTTCTGATGGGGCTTTGAGAGCTCAGTGTGGTGGGTACACAGAGAGAGGGAGGGGCCACAGGGTAAAGAGGTGCAGGGAAGGGTGTAACACACAGGTCCCAGACCTGCCCACCGAGAGTCCCATGTACCTCCATCTTGGTATTCATTGAGCGACACTTTCTGACCCCTCTGGTATTGTGCTTCTGCTCTGCTCTCTCTGGGCCTGAGGATGAGCTTGAGTTCCCAGGGGAACCCAAGTAACACATGTGTCTGTAGGTCCATGCTGCTGGGAAAAGCCATGACATAAAATCTGTCTCTCCTCATTGTTGTCTCTGAGCTGGGTCAGTATTCACTGCAATTTGTTCTTGGCCCACTTTATGTTCCGCAACCTGAAGATATGGGGGAGAACATAATGGACAACCTGGGACTCAGAGAGGGAAGGGAAAGGGATAAAAAGGAGCTCTGAAAGAATATCAAAGGACTCCTGGAAGAGACCCTACAGTCAATTTATAGATGAGGACACTAAAGCCCAGAGAGGAGGGGGGCCTTGCCCAAGGTCACACAGCTAGTTGGGGCAGAAGTAAAGTTCAAACCTAGGTCCTTTACATCCTGTACTGCCAACACCCCACTTCCCTGAAATGACCCAGCCTGCCAGGTGAGACTCTGTGGGCCTCATATTTTAACAAGAACCCCAATAAACCAGAGTATTCAGTTTTGTGGCCAAGAAGGCAAAAGGTCCGGAGACAACTTTGCAGAAGGAATAGCTGAAAAACTGAGGCTATGTGTCTTCACAAGAGCAGACTCAGGGGGCAATATGGTCCTTAGCTTCAAATATTGAGAGAAGAAACAAAAACAAGACATGCTGGGAGGCCCCAGGGAAGCAGAACCAGGACCAGTAGGGGGAAGTTATAGGAAACAGATTTTAACTGGAAGAAAAACCTTTCAACACCTGGAGCTGTCCAGCAACGGAAGTGCCTGCCCCGAGGAGGAGGAATCCGAATAGATGGGCTGGAGCGAGGACCACAGACGGAAACCAGCGAGTCCATTCCTGCCTCCCTGGAACACTGGCTAGGTAAACTCAAAGATCCTTTCCAAACTGGAGGCCCTCTGGGAAGTCTGAAGGCAAGCAATGGGAGGGAAATGCTGAGACATGTCCGGACTCCGAAGGTGCTGTTTTCATCCCTGACCTCAGCGGCAAGAGCGGTTTAAGTTAGACTGAGGGAGAAACCCCCACACATCTTCCCTTCCCCATTTGCATTAGAGGAAATGTGCTCTGCCCAGAGCCTGGCAAGAGGGAGGGCTGCACAGAGACCAGGGAGAACCTGAGGACTATAGGGCTGGAGCTGGAAGGGAGCATGGCCGGCACCGGATCCAACACCTTTGTTTTGAAGGCAGGTAAGCCACTGTCCACAAAGGCCATGTGACTCACCCATGTTGGTGGACTGGGGTTAGAACCGTGTCCTCCATTCCTGGCTCTGGAGCTCGGTGCCTTCCCCTGCACGGTAGCCCCGGCCCTCGGAGCTCCCTGCCTCCCCCCTTGTCACTTTGACCCGCTGGAGAGCAGAAGGGGTTGCTGGGCCCCTCTGCTCAGGGATCCCTCAGGGCCTGGGGGTGGGGGGGCAGCCGCAGCTGTTCTGCTAGCTCCAAATTTCTTCAGATAATCAATTGGCCTCGGCTGCTGCTCTGCTCCGCAGGACCAGGACTGGAGAAGCTGGAGGTGGGGAGGAGGAGGGGGAGGGGGCAGGGGGCTGGGCGCTGGGAGAGGGGACTGTCTGGGAGACCCAAGTCCCCAGGCTGGGGACTGAGGGAGAGTGGGAGCTCTGGGCTAACACCCAGGGAGGGAGGGACAGAATGTCAGGAGAGGAGGCATCTGGGACCCTCGTTCTACGTCCTCCAAAACCCATCAGGTGGGCCAGTGGGCTGGGCAACCGGGAGGGGGCACCCGGCACGAGTGGGACTTGAGTACCTCACCCCCCCTTTCCTCCTCCAGCCCCTTCTCACCCCTGCCAGCCCCTTCCAGCTGTCCATGCCCTCCTAGTTACGCAGGCCCTGACCCGCCAGCGCTCTGCCCCTTTCTCAGCAAAGCCCACCCCCGGTGGCAGAGCCCCCAGCAGGCCCCAGAGGCTTGAGAGGGGAGGGGAGGCTCTTAGCCACTCCTCCCGCCTTCACACACACACACACTCACGTACACACACACACTCTGTGTAGGCTGCCAGGCGTATGGCCCCTTTGTGCCGCACAATGGAGGCCCTGCCATGCCCCTTTCCAGGCTGGGCATGGGGCTTCCTCTCCCTCCTCTTCCTCACCTCCCTTCCTTCTCCATCCCCCACACAGGGCCTGCCTATGCCTCCTCTTCTGCCTCTAGCTGGACCTCCCCTCCCTCCATCTTTCTGCATCTTGTTTGCTCACTTGCTTGCGTCCTTTCCTGAGCCCCCGAGGTCTGGGCGAAGCCTGTGTAGAGAAGAAAGAAGTGGACAGAAGGCCACAGTCCTTGAAGGCTGGTTTGGGGAGAGAAGAAGGAAGCAAGCGGAGCGGGAGTGGGGGAGAAGCGAGGCAGTGTTGGGATGGAGGGGACAGAGAGCCCGCGGCTGGCAGCCAGAAGACCTGAGTCCAAGCTCCATATTCACCTTCACTCGCGGCGCCGTAACAAGCAAACCACATGCGCTCCCTGGGTCTCAGGAGTAAGACCTGCCTCACAAGGGTGTTCTGAGCATGAAATGAGATCATCCCGGCAGGGCTCAGCATGAATGCCCACTAAATGGCACAGTAAGGGGCAGGTAGGAGCAGGGCCAACCTGCACTGTTGTACAGTCTGTGCACTGTACAAGGTGCCAGGCCAAGGCAGTGAAGGGGCCTGACATCTAACCAGAGCCACCGGTCATGCCGGTGGTGCCAGTGAGGGTGCAGCATCCCCCGACAGGGGGCCCTGGAGCCGACCCCTCGTGTGGGTTCCCGGACATGAACTTACAGGGGTCCAACCGAAAACTCAGAGTCCCGACAACCTTGGGAACCAAGACAGAGTGGGAGGGGACCGAGAGGCTATGGGGAGCCCCGAAGGGGAGGTCCCTTAGCTCCGTCTTCCCTGTAAAGTGGAGAAAAGCTGAACTATGAATTCTGCTACACCCATCAAGGAGACGCTGCAGCTGAGAAGGGGGGCGCTTAGAAGCAGGAGAGGAGGGAGAGCCTGCGGGGGTCGGTGGGTAGAGATGAGAACGCGGTGTGGGTGGAAGGA